ACCATCTTGTACTTACAACATGTAAAGTAGCGATAATATTTATTAGGACTAAAGACACACTTATAGTACCAAAATTGGCTCAAGAAAGTCTGCATTTTTCTTTTTTTTCTTTTTTTTTGGGGGGGGGGTCATTTCTCTCATAATCAATTGAGGTTACAAGTTACAACATAAAGACTATATCCCCTTGTTTATGGGACTTTCAATTTGCCCCTAGGCAAACCTTCCTAGCGTTAGTGTCGCCCTGGACATCCAATTTTGGATGCCTCATGCTAGAATTGCTATCTGGCAGCCTCGCTTTGCTTATGAGGGTGCAAACCAAACTTCCTCTATGTGGAATCCACTTGTAAAAGTGAATAATAGTTAGTGAATAATAATAGTTAGTAAACACATGCTTGTGTGCTTAAGGCACCTCCAATGAGTCAATGACTAGTTCTATGTTAGTATTAGATGCCATATGAAGGGGAGAGAGGTATGTCACAATGTATGGGAGACATAACTTCTATAAACTTCATCGTGGGTTCCACTTGTAAAAGTGAATAATACTTAATAAACCCATGCATGCTTGTGTGCTTAGGGCACCTCCAATGGCTAGTTCTATGCTAGTATTAGATGCTATATGAAGGAAGAAAGGCATGCCCAATGTATGCGAGACGTAACTCTTCTATCTCCCTCTTGACGAGAGAGAGAATATATGAATAAAGAACAACTTACATATAGAGCATACATGATGAGTGAAATCTAAAAGTTGATACGTGACGTGTATAATAAATAGTCAAAACATTATTTTAGTATTATATCATTAGAATTAATTAGTTAACCTACATTTTTAAATAAACCATTTTTTGAGATACAAGCTAGTTTATAGGCAGTAGCCAATTTGACATGTCGTTACATGGCATTATTATATAGGATTTGCAGTTTTATAGCCAACAAATGGAGTTAAACTTGATATTCACTGTCTTCTTAATGAAAACCGGTTATAATTAAAATCTAAAAATTGATGAAGCATTTTTTCCCTAGCTTCTCGTTTCGCAACTCTATAATAGTTATATAAACTAAGCTCTAATAATAAGCATGAAATTCAACAATGTCTCCTTTTCTCTTTTCAACCCTAGCTTTTTTCCCACTAACTTCGATGAAATCTTTGCTACCAACTTTTTTTTCAGCTGCCATGAATAAAGTTCCAAAGCTAAGCTAAAACCTGGTTAGGTAGCACTAGAAGTAAGAAGTAAGAGAGTTTATTTGTGAGAAACGTCTATGTGACAGAGCTTTAGTTTATGGGGTAAGTAGAGTCATTGTAAATTGTTTTTTGATGCCCCATGCAGTTCGAGCTCAAACAAAATTATTGGCTCCCCATGTGAAATAGGCTACTTCGGCGCTAAAGTAGGAGTATTTCTCAAGAGTTAACTAACGTTTGGTTAATTTTTCTATATAGGAGCACAGAATACGATGCGTGGAAACTAGCTAAGACCGTCTAGCCTTATGTAGCAGTTATGTACTAAGATGTTGAAGATGTCAAAGAAGGAAATGGATAAAAAGTGAAGCACATGATCAATGAAAAATATTGTAAAACTGTTTAAGATGATGAGCTTGAACTTGAAGCAAGATCAGGCAGCAGCCAACTAATCCTGCTGCTTTCTTTCGTCGTGGTCGGTCACACCGACCGGTGGCATTGGCAATCAAGAAGGAGTATATAACTGTAGAGAATGGAATCCACATGACAACCATTTTTCCAAGTTTTTATCTTTACACGAGGAGAATTTGTCAAACTTCAGAGATAAATATACACTGTTTCTTTCAATCGAAAGAGACGGGAAGCAAGTAGTCCTTGCATTGTCAAGAAATAAACACGCAAACCAGAGCTCAAATAGTACAATGATCGAATAATCATAAATCTTGTTCTGTCCTTGTCGAGTAATACCATCATTTTTAAAAAAAATGAATCATGCAGAGAGCTGCCGATTATATTAAAAAGCAGATTAAGCCCAGACTAGGCAAAAGTAAACAGATACAACTCCGGTCGGTTGGATTGGGGAACATCAACACGCACCAAAACTACAAAATCAAAGAAGAAGAAAAAACAACTCTAGCCAATCGGAATGGGACATCGACACGAGCCGCGACTCAACAAAAAACACACCTTCACCGCCACCAAACCACCACGAACTGGTCACTACACTGCACCGCCACCCCCCGAAAGACAAAGTTGTCAATACGAAAACACCCTTGTCACCGCTTGCGCCGTCGTTGCCGACGATGTCCCGCACCGAGTAGCCCATTGCTAAGGCTAGCCGCTGCAAGCCGCTGCAAGCCATGTAGCCCTTCCACAATCAGATCCGCTTGCGCCATCTCTAAAGACAGTTGTCCCACACCGGAGTAGCCACTACAAAATAGGGCTACCCGCCGAAGGTCGCTGCAAGCTGCCAAACTAACACGAGAGGAGCTGCCTCAGGCGCACACCAAGCCGATCTTGTCCACCGAGATCCTAGCGCGCACACCGCAGCTTCCTAGTAGCCTAGCTGTCTCAACAAAGGGCGTTTGTAGTAACACCATCATAGACTGACTGTATCTTAGCTAGGCTGCTTGACCTTCAGAGTTGTATCTTTAAGCAGTCTAGTGCGCATGTTTAGAATCGCGAGTCATGTAACTCAACTCCTTTCTACCTTAATACAATGATACACATGGCTTGTGCGTATTTGAGAAAAAAAAACATAAATCTTGGTTGGTAGGAAATTTAACACTAGATGAAGGGTGTGTATGAACAATTTATAAATATTTCAAAACAAAATTGGCCATGTAATCATCTAAAATGGTTTTTTTTTTGCTAGGAATAGATAATAACAACACCCCTATCATCTGGTGGTCTAGCCAAACAAGGTGCTAGTTCTTGCCTAGCTACTATCATGGTTCTTAGAATTTCTATTCTATCTTGCAATTCTACATCTATGGTCTAAATTGATTAGACTAATTCTATATATTTCTATGATTTTATTACACACAGATATCCAACCCAATATGAATATGTGAGTACAATGTTGTCCAGTATCCATGCCAACAAAGCCTACATATGGCCAATGGTCTCGCCGCCGCCACCATCTCAATTTGTGCCCTCCTCCCTCTAAGCCAGACGCGAGTAACCAATAATCCACCCACCTAAGCTCTAACCCTATCATTGCCATCTTCAAAAAGCTCGCAAGATGTAAAAGAAAACGACAACAATCTAAGAAGTAAGCCTATTCTTTTTTTAAAAAAAATTGATTAAACAGGCTATAAGATTCTATTAATAATAATGAGGTAATGGAATAACGAAGTCCAAAATAAATAAACAAAATACATAGGTACAAACATGTAAAGAAATTGTTTTTTCTAATTCATCAATTTACTACGCACGTTACTATAAACCAAAATGCAAAATGGAGGTGGTCTTGCACAGGGCCAGCACCCGCACGTTGGAGGCTGCAAGATAGCTTCCAAATCTCAAGATCTATATAATTTGTTTTTTTTTTGATGAAACTGGAGGGGTTTGCACCCTTACAGAGTTTTATTAAATTAAAAAGAGTACCGAAAAACAGTTACAAGCAGCTGGCAGCTGAGGTCAAGGAATTCAGGAAACAAAAAAGTAGGAGAAAAAGATAAAAGCTAACACTGAAAGCATCCTGGCTAAGCTAAACTTGTTATCCATTAATTGATTAAACCTTGGGAGATACTTTCGCTCTGTCTTGAAACACTCTTTAGCCGACTGAAAACTTGGATTCTCTTGGCGAAAAATCATATCATTTCTTATCTTCCAGATTGTCCAACACATCAAGATGATTATCTCCATGAAAAAAGGAACTTGGAGTTGATCCTTGAAGTTTTGTAAATTCTGAAAAGGGTCAACACTTTGATCTACTTGAACACTGATCCACGCCCCGCATTGCGTGGCAAATGGGCATTCAAGGAATAGGTGGATGAGAGACTCTTCAGTGGGACTATTGCACAGAATGCAGATCTATATAATTTGTCACCCGGGGATGTACGCCACCGGTGGAGATGAGATAATAATAATGCCTGACGATGGTCTACTGCATAGTATGCATGAGTACATCGATTCCCCCAAGCACCAGTGGAGTCGTCAGTGAGACATACACATGACAGTCTGATTCTCTACTCCTTATCTGGTAAACAGACGATGCTAAACAAGGCCAAGTGCATGCAGCTAAACTGCAAACGCATTACAAAATTGGCCAGCAGTAGCCTGTCCAAACAACAAACCGTCTGTCTTGCTGATACCAGATCTAATAAGCTACGTTCAGGCCCACCAAATCCTTAAAGAAACCATTGACACGTCAGAGACTCACTCGTGTGTCAGAGCCAGAGCATCATCCATTGTAGAACTGAAAACTACGTGCTTTGGGGAGCAAAGCCATCAGCTAGCACAGCTAATAATAAGCAACATGTCCAGTCGAGAATGATACACGAAATTATCTCATATTTCCTGGCCTCCAATCTCTGTCACTGATTTGTAGTTGGCGCCGTTCCTTGATCGAAGTCAACCCTCTCCAGCTTATAAACTAATAAATATACTTGCACTGTCACTGACTCACAGCGGCTCAAATGAAAAACTCCGAGAACGTATTTCATTGGGTTTGGGTATTAGTATATCTTATTATACTCCATCTGTTCCAAAATAATTATGCATGCATCTTGTTTCTTGAGAGTCATTTTTTTAAATTTAACTAAGCATATGAAAAATAGTATTAGCATTTATATCTTAAAATAAGTTTATTATAAATATATTCTTAATCAATCAAATATCACTTTCAATTGCTGTTACTCTCAGACGGAGGGAGTTAAGTACTAGAATTAAGTCTAGCTTTTGCACTTAATAAACTACCTGCCCAGGCCCGGCCGATGCCTATTAGTATAGACAAGTACAGCTAGCTTCTGTGCCACTCTCACACGACACCAGCGCGATCCCCCAGTGTGTCCGATCCTCTCTCCACACCTAGCTAGCTACCATGCGTGTCCTCTTGCTCCTCCTCCTCCTCCTCGCCGTGGCCTCTTCTCCGGCGACGGCGTCGGGCGATGGCGGCGCGGCCGTTCCAGTGGGGAATACCGTCTTGTCGTTCTTCTGCAACCCCACCAGCTCGAGCGTCCAGCGGACGTACCAGCCCAACAGCACGTTCGCGGCCAACCTCCAGAAGCTCGTGACCGAGCTCCCGAGGAACGCCTCGGCGTCGGGCTTCTCGGCGGGGAGGTTCGGCGCCGCGGGCCCTGGCGCGGCGTACGGGATCGTGCTCTGCCGCGGCGACTACCTCGGCCAGCAGTGCGTGGACTGCCTCGCCGACGGGTTCGTGCAGGCGGCCAGCAGGTGCCCCAGCAGCGTGGACGCGACCATGTACTACGACCAGTGCCAGCTCCGGTTCTCCGACCAGGACTTCCTCGCCGGAGCCGGAGCGGGCGCCTCCAACATGCCGGAGAGCGCCGCCTCGAACATGAACAAGGTGTCCGCCGGGAACACCGCCGCGTTCGACGCCCTGGTCACGCGGCTCGTGGACGCGGTGTCCGACGCCGCCAGCAACAGGAGCGCCCGCTACGCCACGGGCCAGGCCGGGTTCCCGCCGGAGAACATGAACGTGTACGCGCTCGTGCAGTGCACGCAGGATCTGACGACAGGGCAGTGCCGGGAGTGTCTGACCGGCCTCAGAGACCAGATGGCCAGTTTGTTCGCCGGGAAAGTGGGTGGGAGGATTCTCGGCGTGCGCTGCCACATCAGGTACGAGAAGGATGTCTTCTTCGCGCAGACCCAAGATATCCTGACGCTCACGCCGCTGCTGGGTTCGACCAAAGGTTAGTCCCAGTTCATAGTAAGTTTTTCTCCTTTGATTTTGTAGAAAACGAGAATCCCGTTTTACAAATTCGATGCAGAGTTCACAGAGCAATTCATTCATTAGTTCTCACTCACTCACTCTCTCTCTCTCTCTCTCACACACACCTTAATCAGTAGAATTAGTGTGTTTTAATTTCCCCTAAATAGCTTAGTCTTGGGAGTCCCCGTAGGGACGACGATGTGATGATAACTAATTTTACAAGGTCCCAACTGTTTGATTGTTAAAATGCATGCCACCTTTGCATACCCTTTCTTGTTAACAAGATGTAGTAGCTGATTTTATTGAATAACTTGAGCCTTTCCCCTGGCACTCCATGGTTTATTTGCATCCCATATTTTATTATTTTCTACTCAACCATTCCAGAAAATTTGATGTTCTAGGATTCAAAAACTATGTCAGAAAACTTGGTGTTTTAGTTCTTGGACAATAGATTGAGCTCTCATTTCAGTTTGAGATTGTGGTCTGCATGCCTTTACGCATTCCTTTTAATGAGGGGTGGGTAATTTCGGTTGAGCACAATCTATCCTAAAAATCCTAGAACACCAAGGAATTTTTGGACAAATGAAGTATATACATTTTCTATATTTGGAGACTTATTTTTTTAGAAAGGCGGTAAGAGTTTTGCCGTAATTTTATTAGACGATGTTGAAGACTTATTTTGAAACTTGCTACATATGCGATTGGAATGTTTTAAACTACCAATTTATCCCTGGGGTTTACTAATTATTCCGCACATGGGAATGGGACTATGTAAAAGTACCAGTTTTTTTTTTTGTTCCTAAACCAAATCATGTCCCAATTATATTTTTGCTTGTTTTGGTTCTGAATAAGCTACCTCAAATGTGGATATGATACATCCAATTATTTATAAAATGTCTACAAGCTTTAACATATGTATAGTTATTTTCACAAGTCACCGGATGAAAATTTCAGTTGAACACACATTCAGAAGGTAATCGATATACAATGCTCCAGTGGTTTTTTAAAGCTAGAAGTTATGAGATAGATGATTAGTTAATGAAACTTCCAAGCAAGCTGTGAGATATAGTAATTAGAGAGGTGGCAACAAAACAAGTCTAGTTTTTCAATGCAATGGTCTAGCTACAATAGGTCAGACATCCAATGTTTACAATGTTAGTCAAAACCCAGGATCCAACAAGGAAAAATATACAAATTTTGCTTACGAATGCTACGACTTTTGTAGCTGTGGGCTGTAGCTTACACATATGTGCATCTGAATGAAAAATGCACACTCCACAACATTTCTTCCCCATGTGTGACGTGTTGGAGTTAAAATATATGTGTGTCGCATCAACATGTACTAGGTGCTTATCTTGGAGTAGGCCCCGCTTGAGACGTTGGGCCCCTGTAGAACCGAAAGAGCACGTCAGCCTGCTAGCTAAGGAAAATGCTCGGGCAGCGAATGATATGATTCGTGACTTTTTATCGATCGGTCCGGCTTGGTGTGGCGACTGCCGAGCGCGAGGTCTTTTGTTGGTGTTTTTGCGTTTCGAATCGGCGACCAAATCGATCAGCCGTGATCCATCCAAACTCCTTTATTACTTGGCCTTTTCGGCGATACAAAACGATGTCCTTGTTTGTTTAAGTTTTTTCACTCTCTTTTCATCACATCAAATTTTAGTAGAGTATTAAATGTAGATAAAAAAAATAATTAATTAGGAGTTTTTATAAATTAGATAAAAATAAATTAACCAACGTTTGTAAATTACGAGAAAATCGATGACAGCGATTGGGATAATTAGGGCCCTCCGATCGCTCTTACACCCATCTAAACCAGGCCTGGGTTAGGTAGGGCCCTCCGATCGCTGTGGGACTATATGCTGGCAGTGGCACGCTCATCATGTGAAGGAATCAACCAAACGTACGTACGTATAGTACTGGGATAACAAAGATAGTGGTAGAAAAACTGCATTGGTTTCGGTTTCGGGGAATGGATCGGAGATCGATGAAAACAAAAGCTGAGGCACATGGATCTCATCCGTCCCCATCTGGACCGACCATGTGACGGTGACTTTTGTGTTTGACTGGTGGATTGGCTATAATAGGCGACACTCGGCACGTGCGTCACGAGTCGCCAGCTCTGCGAGCGCATTTCCCGAGACAGCTGCAGGCTGCCGCTGCCGACCGTAGCCCGTAGTCGTACTTCGGTTCATCTCCTTTGGTTATAGGAAAAAAAAGGTGGGGAAACAGAACAGAATACGAGTACTACTATGTTTCGCTTTGCCTCCTAGTACTTTTTAATTTTTGGACAGTTTTTATTCTCTTCATTCATTCACACGGGACACGGTTGATTTAAGATTAGCGACAGCATGGACGGAAAAATTTGGATCTAAACAAATAGTCGTATGATTTATGACTACATATCTATTAAATAGAAGAATATGCAATATAAACAATGAAAAATATAAGATTAGTCGTTATATAGCACATGTTCAGTGTCTTAAAAAATTTGAAGTTTTTTAGCCAAAAAAGGGGGAAACAGAACAGAATACGAGTACTACTATGTTTCGCTTTGCCCTCAGCGTTCCTTCATCACATCGAATATTTGCACGTTAATTAGGAAGAATAAGCTAATTATAAAACTAATTGCAGAAGCCTTGGGTTAATTCGCAAGATGAATCTATTAAGCCTAATTAATCTATAGTTAGCACGTGTACTGTAGCACATATTATCAAATCTAGACTGATTAGGTTTAATAGATTCGTCTAGCGAATTAGCCTCCATATGTCGAATTAGTTTTGTAATTAGCCTGTGTTTAATACTTATAATTAGTATCAAACATGCGATGTGACGATGTGACGGGGCTAAAGTTTAGGCTGGGTATCCAAACCTCCTTTGACCTACTTTGCGTCGACGGCGGATGAGACGATGGTGAGGTGACATCTATCGATGGCTTCGTCCCCACCCACGGCGATCTTCTTTAGCCGCCGGACCGGAGAGACCACGGCGAGCACCGGTGTTTATTTGACGCTCCGGGCCTCGGTCCCCTTCCGGTCTCGGGTCATCCTTGGTGGCTATGGCCGGTAGCGAAATGCACAGGGGCCTGCCTGACCTCCAGAGTCCAGACAGCAGGCTTGAGGATTGACGACGTTCTATTCCATGCATCGTGCCATCGAATTTGACACACCCCTCAAACCTCATACGATGGCAACCCATGCATCATCACTCACCTGGCCGGATCCGTCGCTGCCGGCCGGCGACCCCACAAAAACCGATGGCTAGCTTCATCCATATCATTCTTCTTGTCCCTTCTCACTGCACTGCAGACTATAGTACATCGCGGATTTGCGGTCTTGAGTAGTTGTTGTCACTTGCCACTGTATATTGATGCCTGCATGCCTGCTTACTGCGCTAATTAACGCCCCGCGCCATGCATGTGTTCATCGTCGTCAGGTAGCAGCACGACGCTATGGATCGTCGCCGTCGTCGTCCCCGTGTCCGTGGTCCTGGCCTGCTTCCTGGCGTGCTTCCTCTGGATCAGAAAGCGGAGGAGGAGAGGAAGTTAAGTTACTTGTGCTTATTATTACAGTACTCTTGAGTTGCTATTAGCTAGCGTAATATCAGTACTCCAAAGTACTGTCGTCACTAACGGCACGCGTGCGTGGCTTAATGTGTCAGTGATCAATATGTCAGGGAGGGTGAGTGTGCCCACCATCTCCATGGAGATGGAGCAGGTGCTCAAGCTCTGGCGGGTCGAGGAGAGCGACTCCGAGTTCTCCATCTTCGACTTCGACCAGATCGCCGACGCCACCGACAACTTCTCCGACGACCACAAGCTCGGCCAGGGCGGCTTCGGACCCGTCTACAAGGTACTGGGAGTACTATATAGTACTATACTGTCAGAAATCCCCTGTTTGCCTGTGTCTCATCTCATCATGCAGACCATCCAGCAATCGATTGGCATGCATACTCATCTTTTGTGCCACGTACTTACATTGTCATTGTCTGTGCATCATCATCCAGGGTGAGCTGCCGGGCGGCCTGGAGATCGCCATCAAGCGGCTGTCGTCGGTGTCGGTGCAGGGTCTGATGGAGTTCAAGACGGAGATCCAGCTGATCGCCAAGCTGCAGCACACCAACCTGGTGCGCCTCGTCGGCTGCTGCGTGCAGGCCGACGAGAAGATGCTCGTGTACGAGTACATGCACAACAAGAGCCTCGACTTCTTCATCTTCGACGGCGACAAAGGGAAGGCCCTGACCTGGGAGCGGCGGTTCCGGATCATCGACGGCGTCGCGCAGGGCTTGCTCTACCTGCACAAGCACTCGCGGCTGCGGGTCATCCACCGGGACCTCAAGGCCAGCAACATCCTCCTGGACCGCGACATGAACCCCAAGATCTCCGACTTCGGCATGGCCAGGATCTTCTGCTCCAACGTCACCGAGGCCAACACCACCAGGGTCGTCGGCACGCAGTGAGTTCTCTACTAACCATTTGCAGGAGCAGCAGCAGGCTGCTGAATAATCACTACTGGCCACTGATCAAATTTAGGAATGGTCTTTAATTAATTTGTTCGTCCTGCTCGTTCAGTGGCTACATCGCTCCGGAATACGCTTCCGAGGGTCTCTTCTCCATCAAATCCGACGTTTTCAGCTTCGGGGTCTTGCTCCTCGAGATCATAAGCGGGAAGAGGACCGCCGGGTTCTACCAGTACGGCAAGTTCTTCAATCTCACAGGATATGTAAGTACGGCTATCCAGATTACCTGCAATGCGTGAAATTCAGAGTTGCGCGATTAGCCTGACAGAGCACTTGAATGGACAATACAGGCGTACCAGCTGTGGCAGGACGGGAAATGGCACGAGCTGGTGGACCCGGCGCTGGGCGACGACCTGCCGGTGAGCGAGGTGACGAGGTGCGTGCAGGTGGCGCTGCTGTGCGTGCAGGACAGCGCCGACGACCGGCCCAACATGTCGGAGGTGGTGGCCATGCTGGGGAGCGAGGGGGTCACCATGCCGGAGCCCCGCCAGCCGGCATACTACAACGTCCGGATCACCAGCCTCGCCGTGTCGTCCGACTCGTTCGGCGAGTCCTCCTGCAGGATCACCAGCATCACCCTCACGGATCACGAGGAAGGCAGGTAGATAGCTAGTGGCGGCTACTGTAGGTCGGTAACTGTACAGGACAGGATGGTCGTCATATGATCAGAATACAGAGACACGGAAAGAGAGACAGAAAGGATCAGGGTAGGTTAACATGGTGCAAGATATGCCCATGCCCATGAACGAACGCTTTTAGTTTCTTCTTGATTAGCTCCAGTAATTTTTGGTCCATATAGTTGACTTCACTGGTCTTCTGATCTGTAAACTTCTGGTATATTTGTATGTGCGCACTTTAGTATAAGAGCGACTGTAGTTGTACACATATGAATGTGCTTACGGTGTTATATATTTTAGTATGGAACTACTAGTAATATTCTGAACAAGGCGACCTGCTCTAGTCAGGCACCACTTGCTTTACAGTTACAGGTCGCTGTGGAGTTCTGGTCGTATCACTCCGGCCGCACACTGATCAGGTTGGGGAGAGCGAACAGCGGGAGCTTATCGATCTCGGCATCTCGCTTGCCGCCGTCACCCTGCAGGACTCCAGGATACGGAGCGCAGGTCCTGCAGTTGGACACCCGGGAGTTGGACACTTTCAACGACACCAGCGTGGTCAGGCCTGTCAACAGATGCAACTATTGAAACGAGAACAATGTCCTGATAAATGCACATGGAGAGAACAACGAAATTGTACCCGAGTCCCGAGATCAGCTCTAGGGTTTTGTCCGTGAGGTTTCCATTTTGAGATGGGTTGAGTAACGTCAGGGCTTTCAAAGTCCTTGATGTTCTTCACACCGGCATCTGTAATCAACCCACCGCAGACCTCCAGGCCTAGTTACTAGGACCAGACCGGACAGGCGGTTCGATCGCTAAAAGACCGAACCAGAGCCTAGACCGGTCCGGTTCACTTAAAAGACTGTCTATGCAATCGAACCGCTAAAAACCGGTTGAACCGGCCAGTTTTTTACGGAACCGGTGAACAATCAATTTCCATACGAACCGGTGAGTTTTTGAGTTTTTTCAAAATTACCTCTCTGTGCACTCTGGACGACCTTATCTAGTTAGGGGTATTATTGAAAATTAGCTCCAAATGCCTCTTTAGGGTTGTTTTGCCGCTAGGAGTGGCCGAGTGGGAGGGAAAAATTGCCTTTTCGTGTTCTGGGCGGCAGCGCGGAGCTTCTGCTCCGTGCAGCGTCTAGCAGGCGGCGGCAAGAGCATCAGCAAGCAGCTACGGGCGGGTCGGCGTGCGGCTGGCGGCAGGCAACGGGCGGTCGCAGTGGCCGCGGCTGGCCACGGGCGGCCGCGGCGGGTCGAGCTTGCGTCGTCCGCAACCGGCAGCGGCGTGCGGCTGCAGCCTTGCTGTCTGCTACTCTGCTCTAGGCTCCACCGCTCCATGCCTCCAAGCGCTTCCCTGCTGTTCTCCAGTTCCAGACGACCATGCCTAAACTTCGCGACATGGCTAATGGTGAGCCTAGGTTAAGATTAAATTAGGCATCTATGATCTGTCAATGTGAAGATTCATAAATATATGAAGCTCGTGTTCGTGTTAGAGTATATTAGTTATTAGGCATCTCTTTTCTCCAGATTTGATTAATTTAGGATTGATTTCTAAGTTTTCCACTACATGGCTAAAGTAGTAACAGATGAGCTGCATTTCTTATCGGTTATCATGCACTTTTGTTTTGAATCTAAAAACTTGTGCAATTAAATTTGTGTTGTTTATTTATCATCTGTCAATTATTAATTATAGCAAATATATATATATATATATATATATATATATACTGGTTCAAAGTAACTGGCCAGTTCAATTTGTTGGGTCCAAAACAATTGAACCGGCGGTTCAACCGGTTCTAAATGGTTAGACCAGTGAACTGATGGCCTTGCCGGTTCAATCTCCGGTCCGGTCCTAATAACTTTGCCTCCAGGGACTGAAGATTCTTGAATGAAATTCTTGAAAACTGAAACAGCGGTGCAATGTTTAAAATGCAGTGAGATTCCTTATTTACAAATGGAAAGAAATCCACTGACATAAATAAGGCAATGCTCCTACATCAAGGTAGTATGCACCAAGAGAAGCTGCTGCATTTTTTTTAGAGCTAACATGGTAGTCTTCTTGGATAGGATAGTCTTTTGAGTAATGCATACTTACATCTGAAGCAGTTCATGCCAGAATCAACTATGAGAGCTCCAAATAGGTCAAGGTGTGTCAATCCAGTGAGACCTGCACTGACCAAATGATCTAAATTAATGTCATGATATGACTTACTGTGCAAAATATTGCCTATTGACACTGGAAAACCCTGCTACAATACAATTTTAAGTGATAATATGCTTGTGTTTAAACAAAAACAGTCATAAGTGATACCATTTAAGTGAAACAAAACACCAGAAGTGACAATAAGCTAACCAGAGAAATGACGCAAACATTACAGTATATAAGTGATAATATGCTTGTGTTTAAACAAAAACAGTCACAATATATCCAACTGATATGAGAAGCATACTTGCAAGAGATGCTAAACCAGTATCTGTGATTTGGCGATTGTCAAGATTAAGAGGCTTCATTGAGCTCAAGCCAGAGATCTTCTTCAAACCAATGTCAGTAACCAATGTAAAAAAGAAATTGATGCTCTGCAAATTACGTAGAGTGGCAGAAATAGAAAAATTAAGAACTTTCTTTAAGACAATGTGAACTACGATATATTTGTAACAATTTAAAATCATCCTAGTATTATGGTCTACCCTAGTGTAATAACAATTTAAAATAGGGAATTGACAATAAGTGTTTGAATAAGGAACATCTATTGAGAGCACATGTTGATTTCATCGAAGGCTGTAGCAACAATGCCAGGGAGGTGTTTAGTTTGGCAGCCATATATGAGGTGGCGCATCATGAGTTCATCCCATGAATTTTAGTGGAATCACCCATTACTCATGCTTATACAAACTATTAGTTTGAGGGATGAGATGGTGGAGAATCAACCCATTATATTCCAGAAACCAAACAAAAAAGTGAGGAAAAATGACAGACCCATCCATTCCTCAAACCAAACACACACTAAATTAACAAGCGGTTACACAATCTGAACTGGTCCAACGGTATGGATTAACAAGAAAACAAATCAATTGCCAATAATATTAGCATTTGTGCAGGCATTTTAAACAAACCTGAGAGATGACGAAGTCCATTGCTCCCAACTTCAGTGTCTGAAAGCTCCAGGACTTTTAGCTGCATGAGGCCTATAGCACATCAAGATGCAAAGATAGATTAAAAGATGCTTTGAGGCAGCCAAACAAAACAAAACAAAACAAAAAGATTATAGTATCTAATAGTGAAAAAGAGAACACATTTAGGATTCAGCAGAGAGAGATGGTTAATAAGCACAAAAGAGAGTTAAACGGCAACAGTTTATTCAGTGGTTTTTGTCTTAACCTTCTTCTTAACAAAGCACCAGGCAAACAAGGAGAAAATGATAATTGCCACTGTAATCTAGAATTTACCAATGCATTGAACACTCACCTTTCAGGTGAAATAGACCCTCATCACCAATCTTACATGAGTCCAAGTTCAAGCACTCCAAGCTGATCAAATCTGAAAGGAACATAGGGCATCAGAAAAGAACTAAAAAGCAGTCTCATTACGCACGAATCAATACTAAGGGACACCATAATTATGATGCACTTCTAGAAGGATCAATACAAGAAGTGTGGGTTTCCACGGTTCCAGTAAATGTTGTGCTTATAGGCTATAGCGCTGCACATAATTT